GCCATCTCTCTCGCGGCTGGGCTTTGCCATGCAGCGTGACGGTGGCTCCCACCACAGCCGCTTCTCGCCTCCCCTGGAGCCTCCCGGAGCCTCGCCGGAAGCGGTGAGGGGACCCCGGCTCAGGGGTGTGCCAGGAGGGGGTCTGCTGCTTGCCGTCGCCTCCCTTCGGGCCTGTGGGTCTCGCCTCAGGGCTGGGCAGGGCGCGGGGCAGGCTGGGCCTCGGCGGTCCTGAGGGAGCCCAGCCTTTTCCCTCTCACCGGTGTTGCCCCTATCGCTGCCTCTGAGGTAGAGGGGCCAGGGCCGTGCCTCTCGCCCTTCTGGATGTGTCCGCGTTATCTGTTAGCTTAATATTCATGAATTACCAGGTTCTGTTCATGGAGCTGCGCTGTTTGCCCTAGAGGCTGGTTCTCGCCTCATGCTTTGTCCCGGCACCTGAAGGAATCAGAGGGAGCTAAGCCACCAGTAAAGGCAGCAAGCTGTGCTTGCAAGGCGTGACATCCCTGTCTGTTGAGGAGATGGTGACACGTGAGCCTACAGGCATGGCCTGCGTAAAGGCTTTTGTCAGGGGCTTTTGAGAGGACTGGGGTGTGTGTAAGGATACTTACTTCTTGTCACAGAAATGATTAAAGTCTGCTCAAAGCTGCTGCTAAGACTCGTGTTTGAGCAGAGACTATGTGTGAATTTTAGCTGATGGATGTTTGAGGGAGAATGTTCTGCTTTACTGAACAGGATTCAAGCAGCAAGAGAAATGTGTCTTTAAAAGACTTACTGCTACAGAGCTATACCGCTGACAGCAAAGTAGGATGCAGGTATATCTAGCAAGAAATTTTAGGTAGGGTTATTCTCAGGTTTGATCATAACAGAACAAACGTCGTAATACAGAACAGCCAGCCTGCTCACAGGGTTTAGCATTTGTGGACAGCAACTACTAGATTAACATCAGATCTTGTTTTATCCACCCAGACTTTGGAAATTCTTTACTGTATTTCTGTCCTAGCACATGATTAAACTTTTAGTTTTAAGACCTGCAAAAGAGCTGGTGTCTCATATAAGTGGGCCCTGCCATTGCCAACTATGGGCAGTTGGTGTCTCGTAGCAAGAGTCTAAAAATGGAAGAAGAAAGGATTAAGATTCAGTGTCAGCTTTAGTTACTAAGATTGGGGAGAAAAAACTGCAGCTAGGGACTTTACCACTTGTGATTTCTTTAAGGCAGATTGCTACATTAGGCAGATTTTCTATGTTTGCTCTGTTTTGTCTCTTCTGGGGTCCCAGTCCTCTGTGATGAGAGCAAACATCTTTGCTTTGTACTCACAGAAAGGCTCAGTCTTTCTTTGGAAGATGGATGAGATGGAGCTTTAATACAAATTACTGAAAACAGATGGAAAGGAGGCTAGTGGAGGGTGTTTTTTGTTTGTTTTTTTAAGCTTAGAAACTATTAAAATATGTATTTTCCTCATATTAATCTTGTCCAGGGATTTACAGCATCCCTATCTCAGAAGAACAAAACTGCTTTGTGTGGAAGAAAATCTGCAAAAGATGGCCTGAAGCTGGAGCCTGTGGCATCTTTGCAGGTAGGTGGGATATATTGCTCATAGAACCGTGTGTTGATTTGTCTAATACCAGGTTTCTAACACTTTAAGTACCTGGATGTTCTTCTGTCCTCACTGTTTGTCTGTTTAGCACTGAACTAATTTCTGATATAAAATAGTGAGGATGCGCTTGCTGTTATTTATCTATGTAGGTAATTTAGTGCACAGCCTCCTTTAATCAGTCACTGCAGGATGAAGAACAAACTGTGAGAATCCTTCCCTGGCTCCTCAGAGACCATGAGGTCAGATATGCTTTACAGCATTCCCTGGAGCTTAGTAGACTTGGGCTGTCTGGAAAAAGAGATTGTTTTCAGAGCAGGGGACTTGATGCAGGGAATACCAGCCTCCATGGCAGGCACAACGTTCTGCAGAATCCACACAGCATATGTAGACAAAAAAATCTTCATTTGCAGATGGAGAGAGGCAGGATACCTGCTTTCCAAGTCATGTAGAAGTGTCGTAATTGTAAGCCCTTGTTTTACTCTGTGTCTTTTGTCTCCTCTGTACGGAGAAGGCAGGAAATCACATTAGAGGTGATGCCACAATGCTAAGGCTAGTATACGTTTCTGGTTTTGCAAGCTGTCTTATAGTGGCTGAAAAAAATACAGAAGTATAGTAGAGGACTGGGATGTTGTGACATATTCCACTGTGAATCTTTTCTTTTTTCTTGTGTTATGCAGGAGGGAAGGAAAGTCCTTCATACCACTGGCATTTTTTCTTGCTTTGGTTTGTCCTGGTTTACATGGCAGAAGCAAGGATTTTTCTTTTATAGAAGCAGTTTGAGTGAAGGACATGAGCTTGTAAATTTGAGAAAGGAAATTTTCAAAACGTGACTGCGTAAGGCCCTGACCAATCTTGTCTATGACGTTAACTGTTCTTCAAGCAGGAAGTTGGACCAGATGACCTCCAGTGGTCCCTTCCAACGTATGCTTTCCTGTGGTTTCTGACTCTTTCAATCAGAAAAGACAGGGAAAACATTTCTGTGAGGAGGCAGTAATATCCAGGCAGATGTGTCTACCAGTGCATAAGAGCATGGAATATGAAATGAAACAAATAAAGATGTAGATTAAAGACTTCACCTTGAACCAATGGTAAGAGATTTGAATCTGCAGTCTGGAGAGGTCAGCTGGGAGTCAGACAGTATAACTGAAGTGCCAGGTTGGACAGAATGAACTCTTTAAAAGTTGTCTTGTACAAACCCAGTTGTTATCCTGTATAGATACATGATTTGGAGAGTCTTTATAGATTCTTTTAACTAGATGTTGACAAAAATAATTGAAAAACAGGTATTTTTTTTCATAGCTGAAAGGTCTGGCTGAAGACTGTGGAGGTCAGTATTCTTCTATTTCTTCTAGTTCTCTGTAGAAGTAAGCTTTTCTTTTGGTCTCCTCTTTACTGAAGTAATTTTGTGAATACATTGTTTCCTGGAAGCAGTGTGTCTTCACTGAATCTGAAATAGAACTTTAAATGGAGATTCCTGTAAAGGGCATTTTGCCTCTGTGGTTCTACTGTTTCTCTGTTATAAATTGATTCAAATATACTGGTGCATGTATAATAGAGGAGATGGAATTTCCTGGCTGGAGCTCAGAATTAGTGCTTCAGCATAAGGTTCATCTGGTAGAACTAACTTTAGAAACCACTGAAATGCAACCATCCCTGTGGTGGAATGTAGCGGTTATTTGAAAGTGACTTTTATGTAATTGAAAAACTCACAAAGGAAAGAAGTAAAAGTCAGGAGGTGGAATTTGATAACTCTGAAATGTTTTCAAAGCTGACAAGCATTATGGAATAATCACTTTGTTCTTTGAAACAAAATGTACTATCCATTTCTCATGGAGATGAGGACAGACAGTGTCTATCAGAGGGAGTATCCGACTGTAAACCTGATACTTCATCTCCCTCAGTTTAACTTATTGTGATACGGAAATGCTGCTGGTTAGAATTCCTTTAGAGATTTGTTATATTGTTTGGCTGGAATTGTAAGAAAACTAGGTTTTGTTGTTTATACAATAACTTTGTATGGTTTTGAATGTTTTAATGCTTCTTTCAGACCAGTCCAACAATGCATACTTTGAATAGCTCAGACACTACCTGGATCCTAAAACTTAATTCTCCGAGCCCTGTGAGAGAACATGATCTGCAAAGGCCTTGGCAGGTGAGTGACTCTCCGCATTCCTTCAGCTGCAAATTCTACTGTGAAGAACCAAAGTTCAGGACACGTGAAACCAGTATCTGTAACTGGGATCCCAGGATATTTGGGTGTAGTTGAATTCCTCTCTCGGAACTGGCCAGTTAATACCCACTGAAGTTCTAGACAATGATCTGGTCTGTCTGTCTCTCTGCTCTCCAGGACTGCCATCCCTGACATGTGCCTGAATTCATTAGGGAGTCCTAATTCGCAGGAACGTCTCCATGCTTTTGTCCCTCCTTCCTAGGCATGCTCAGAAATGTGCATTATAGGAAGAGGTGTGTGCCCTGTCCCTCCTGTCAGCTTGTTGTAGGTTGAGGCTGTCTAGTGTCCAAGTACTGCGTGAATCTTCCAGAAGCAGCCAAAAGTTAATGCTGGTCAACAGTGTTAGCACACTCAGAAATGATATCGCAGCCTGTCTTATGTATGCATGAATAGGCTGCTGACTCAGTAAGCAGCAGTCGGATATTACAAGAGGTGCTTAAACTGTGAGTGGGTAGGATTGAACCTATATATATATTTTAATGGTTTGGGCACGCTTCCTTTGAAGACGCGTGCCCAAACCATTAAAATTATGGCTCTAAATTGGGATATCCCAATCTCCACTGTTTCTGTTTCACCTGTGTGAAATGTTCTTCACCTCCTATCCCAAAGTATTCCTGAGAACTGCTACAAGGATGCGTTGTTGTACTTCCTGCACAGAAATAACAAGGTTTGCAACAGCACGGTGTGAAGATGTTAGGTGAACTTCTTACTGTTCTATCCCAGTTTGTAGCTTGATTGTGGAACCTGTATGAGAACCTGATCTTTATAAAGCAGGTTGGCTTGTTATGCAGACCTTTTCCTTTTTCTCTCGCATTTATCCAGAGATTCCCTTCAGCACCAGTGGAGAGTGGCGCAGCAGATACTTCTGACTGCAGTAGACATTTTGGGAAGAAAAATGCTACCAAAGATTGGCTAACACAGAAGAACTTTTGTTGTGCAAAGGTATGAGTGGAGGAACGAAATGGAATGAAAAATGCTTACTTGCAAAGTCCTGTAAAATGTGAGATATGTTTGTCATTGGGAAGGGAAACAAAGAACTCCAGAAATATCAATCCAATGGGTTTTGTTGGGCACTTGCATCCTTTCAAGGTAGCTTTGTTGAGTTCCATGTGATTTAGTGTGTGGAAAAGTTTCCCATAAAACCTTAAACAAGCTTGTGACTAGTTAGAATCATGGACTCATAGAACAGCCCAGGCTGGAAGGGACCTTGAAAGTTCATCTGGTCCGACCTTTCATGGGAAAGGGACACTACATGAGATTATCTAGTATCTAGTGCTCTGTCCAGTCTCATCTTGAAAACCTCTGGTGATGGGGACTCCACCACAGCCCTGGGCAATGGTGAATGATTGATCTTGCTGTAAAAAATTTCTTTCTTATATTGAGATGAAACGTCTCCCAGTGTAATTTGTACCTGTTGCCCTTGTCTTCTCCACATGGCTCCTTGTGAATAGAGAGCCTCCATCCTCTTTGTAGCCATCCTTTCAGTACTGGCATACTGTGATGAGGTTCCTCCAGAGCCTTCTGCTCTCCAGGGAGAAGGGACCTAACTCCTTTCATTCTGTAAGGATCCTTCAGACATGTATCATCCTGAAGGAAAACTTTTCACCTGTTCACCAATGTGTGTTCTGAGTATATTCTACTAGTGGTTCTCAGCTGGAGAGATGGTCCTGTCTTCCTGGTGCTGTCAAGGTAGTAGTTTTAGAAAAGTTCTGTGATTACGTGAAGTAGATCTGTCAGGTGTAATGCAACATACTGGTTGTTTCAAACAGTAGGATGAAAAGGCCTTAAAACATGCCAGAAATTTAGATTTCCCCATTTGTTTTTGGGTTGGGTGTTTGGTTGTTTGTTTTTTTTTTCTCCTATACTTCTTGTATCCTCCTTGCTTTGATGTATGATGTCCTGCTCATCTCAGTGTAAGAAGCCTGTTGGAGTGTGGAGCTGGTCAGTGGGGTCAAGGCAGACATGACTGGAAACTACACTGTTTCTTTGGATTAAAAATTAATATTAATCACAGGGAATAGGAGGCTAATTTTCCATTCTGTGCATCAGATGCATTCCTTGAGCCTTGTGCTGACATGGTAAGCTTGTGGAAAAATGTGATGGCTGTAGCTCAGTTTTTAAATGGCACAAGAAGGTCACAGCAGGGATGACTTTGAATTGATCTATGGAAACCACAGGAGGTGGGCAGCAGGTCAAGCAGATGAAATGTGAATATTTCACATTGGTAGAAATATTTAGTATGGATGTGCTGAAACTGATTTAAACTTTTAGTGATACCTAAGTTGGCATTAGCATCTGTGCAACCTTCATGAAATGCAAACTCAAAAGTGATGGCAATATATGACACACTAGCTGAGCCTTGTTTCTCGGTTGGGACAGGCTGTGAGCATGTCGTATACAGCAAAGCTGCCGACATGGTCATTTGTTAAGCTGTAGGTACTCAGTTGCATGCCTGTTCCCTTAGGCTAAGCTGGTGTAAGTGAAGCAAGCTCCTATCAGTGTCTAAACTGAGGGTTAGTCCCAGAAAGTAGAACAGATTGTAAATTTGTTTTAGCTTAACTGAGATGGTCTGTCTAGAACAGGTGGTGTTTTAGTTTCCTGCATTGCAACTTACCTCATGAATTTTTCCCATAATGCTGAAAAGCTGGTAATTTTTCTTACAGCGGATTCTTCAAGATAAATTTTGCCATGCAATTAAAATTCTTCGTGAACTTGTTGCTTATAAAAGCTGTTGATGTGATTCATGAAGACAAGATCCCTCTGGTTAGCTCACAGAGTTGGTGCTGCCTGATCATAGGGGAGATACCCCCATTGCGTGTGTGCTCTAATCTTGCCTGGATGGATTCCATGCCCAAGCGATAGACAAATTCAGTCTGTATTGCTTTGTGCTCCTTGGCTGGAGTGCAGGAGTTGAGTTAATAAGCCACATGTTGCAAGGAATTACCTGTTTAAAAATCAAATTGACAACAGCAGTGCATTGCAAGGGCTGTTCTTAAATCATGTTTTAGTGTCCTGATATTCACGATGCAGGGAACAGTTTCTCCCTATTCTGATCTTCAGAACTAATAAGGTGAGGATGATGCTGGAGGAGAACTTGGCTGATGTCGCAATAGTAACTGAGATTTTAAATGCAGTCAAATTCATGAGCAGAGGCAGCAGAGAGGCAGTTTCCTGCTTTGGAGGGGTTTTTCTCATTATCTTTTCTCCTACACTTCACTGTTTTCCTCTGGTTTTCCTTTTATACTTCTATGAATTCCTTGACATAATACCTCATTACAGTTTTAGTTTGTTTGATTGCTATTTGTATAGTGTGGCTGTATCTGCATTGAAAATGAAGGTTGCTTCCTTCATCGGGCACATGTGAGCAACAGTGGCAAGGAGCAAATGGTGGTGCGGTCGCGATGAGGCACAGCCAAGGAGCTGTATGGTCTGGTCCTGCTGAACATGTACGTTCCAGTTCTTCCAACGCTCTTCTGTTGCTACATTTAACGTAACTATTCAGAGAAAGTCTCACAAAGATTTGCCTGCCTCTGCTATTTTGCCAGCTGGTGTATGGTATAATGTGCCTTTAATCACAACACGAGTAATTATTTTGAATTCAAAGGTATTGTAACTCCTACTATAAGTAAGTCCTGCTTTTACTTCATGTGGGTTTTTTAATGTTTTGCTAGGCAGCACCTGATGAAAGTCGAGACATCATTGCTTCTGTTCAGTGCATCTTGGACAGAGAAAATTATTTTGTGAGGGTAAGAAGTGGTATCTCTTCTCTCATTTGCTGTGTGCTTTCCTGCATATAATTTTTTTCTCTCCATCAGTGATTCATGATAACATGTTAATTTGTATTCTTGGAAAACTAAATTTAGAAATACAAGTTTCTGGTCTCCTCAGTCTCCTCAGGATAGGACTGAAGCGGTAACCCTAAATATGAGCTTAGGAATCATCTGTCTTTGGTGACTTACCTGCCTGTTTGCACCTAACTTTTCTTCTGTGAGTATGATTAGGTGGTGATGGTGGGCCTGTGAATAAAGGGCAGGAGGGCTGATCTGATCTAGCAGAATGCCAGTGCTGCAGAGAGAAGGTTCCTTCTCCTTTTCCTGCTGGCTGTCTTGAACAGTCTGGTGCCTATCAGAGCCCCACGTTGAAGTGATTGCAGCTCCCTAACCTGATGGGAAAAAGTGAATGATTTTCTGCCAGTCTTGCACTACAGCTTAAAAAATTAAGAGTCTGAATGCCAGAGTCCATGCAAAGGAGAACTGGGAAACAAGTGGTGGGAAGTGAAGCAAGGGAGTAGCAGAAAGAAGGGCTGGAGAACAGGGCCCTTGCAGCAGTGACAAGCCAGATCAGGTCAGCCAGGCTGCGTAGCTTCACCCATGGACTCTTTAATGTGGTTGGCCAATAAGTTGTATGGTTTTTGTTTTCTATTTCTTACTTAGGAGGTGGACAGGTATTTGAGGCACAATGATTTCTTAAATCTGAGAAAGAAGGAGATCCTGTACAAGAAGTGGCTTGAGGGTGTTTCAGAGCCACTGCTGCAGAAAATTGAGGACAAAATGGACAGCCAGTCAAGTGAAGAAATAAGGAGAAGGAAAGAAGAACAACTCTCTCTCTATTTAAACTACTGTAAAAAGAAGGTATCAATAAGAAGTAAATTTCTGTCGTGGAGAGGGTTGCATCCAGAGGGTTGTGGACAAGATCAGGGTTTTAGCTGTTATCTAGTGTTCAGTTGAGTTGCCTGGAGTTCAGATATGCCTTACTTGTAACTTATTCTTCTCAAGAACTTCTGTAATGGTGACATGTGTCATTACAGCTGTTTGTTTAAGTTCACCATCAGGTATGAAAAATAACATTGTTTACTGCAGTGAGCACTTGCTGGGGTCTGAATATGGTGAGACACCATAAAGTGGTGCATTCCCCTCTGTGAGCCAGACCATTCAGGGGGAAATCCTTGAGCTCTGCCAGCTGAAGCCAAAGGCTGACTCTGTGACCAGGGAGGGGACCGCCCTCTCACATCTCAGGAGTTCAGCTAGAGCAGTGCTGCAGTATTTTGGCAGAGCACAAGTGAAATGTGTTTATGGCCTTGGATGCTACTGATCGAGCTTTAGAAACGAAAAAAAAGGTGGGAGCAGGGAGACACCAACAATTTTCTTAAGTCTCCATGCAGGCAAATAGACCCAGCTCGTGGATTCTGTAGTTCTGTGTGTTTCAGTACTGATAAACATTGCAGTCACTGTAGGAAATACTTGTTGGTTTTGTTGATTTTTGCTCTGAATTTCACACCACTGTTGAGTATCAGATCCCATGACTCAACTTTCTGATTCTCAGGAGTGGATATATAGGGCAATAAGAGCAATTGCATCATCTGCTGCAAATAGAATAGCATTATAGAGCAGGCCTTTGTTGTCAGTGGAAACCACTGCACAGTGGAGTTATGAGACTGTAAACAAGCTTCTCATACAAAAATAAAAATGTCATGGGAGCTGTGTTGTTTTAATGAGAGCAAATGATCTCTTTTTCAAAGGTCTGATGTGAAAGACCCATGCATTTAAACTGCACGTAATGACAAAGAGCTGTGAACCAGTCCTACTGCTGAAGTCCTGGGATTTAGGATAAGTTGGGTGTACTGTACGTATCTGGGTCTGCATCAGTCCATCTTGCAAGCTTCTGTGTCAGGTCAGGACTTTGCTGGGATATGTCCTTCTCCCTGAACAAGCACAGCACCTGTGATCAGCCTCCACCATTTCTCTTTGCTCTGTGGTGTTGGCTCTATCATCAGCATGTCTGAAAAGCAGGCTAAAGACCTTCAGAGTAACAGGACAATTAATTTGCGTAAGTTTGCATTAGTCGTGGCAGCATATGATAAATTTTGCAGAACTTAAGACATTTCTGTGGATTGGTTAATATACTGAATTCTGGCTGTGCATTTTTTTCCTCCTCCCTTCTTTTTGTTCATTTTGTCTTGCTCTCTTCCTTGCTATTAGGCTTCTCCTTATCCTTTTCCCCAGATCTCCTCACCTTCCTGTGTCTGTCACTGGTCCATTCCCCCTTTCCTTATCTATTATTCTTCCTCTGGTCTCTCCTCTAGCTCTTTCTCACTCCAGTGAACCCTTTTACTCCATCTGCAAGTCTCCCACTGTTTTGCCTCTCTTCTGTCAGGCTCCCCAGTGCTGTGTCTCCCTCTCCTTGTTGCTTCTGATGATTCACAGAATCATTAAGGTTGGAAGGGACCTTCAAGATCATCAAGTCCGACCGTTAACCAAACACCACCATGCCCCCTAAACCATGTCCCGAAGCGCCACATCCACACGTTTTTTTAATACTTCCAGAGATGGTGACTCCACCACCTCCCTGGGCAGCCTCTTCATTGGAACTGAACAGTGGTTCATTGGAACCACTCTCTCGGTGAAGAAATTTTTCCTAATATCCAATCTAAACCTCCCCTGTCGCAACTTGAGGCCATTTCCTCTCATCCCATCAAATCCATCTCTCTCAAATTTAGAGAGAAGGATGTTGTGAAGGGACTGTGTCAAACGCCTTTACAGAAGCCCAGACAGATGACATCTGTAGCTCTTCCCTTGTCCACTGATGTGATCACTCCATCATAATAGGCCACTAGGTTGGTCAGGCACGTCTTGCCCTTGGTGAAACCATGTGCTTCACATCGGTTGCATGAAGGGAGCAGACATGGCTGTGCTGCACAGTACCTAGCACAATCAACTGAGGTCTCAGCGCATATTGTAATGGTGTGATATGTAATAATAAACCAAGAGGTGGCACTAAAACTCTGCAAATAGAGGCGTGTTAGGGCTTAAAGCTTTCCAGGGGCAGAAACAGGAGATGGTGAATGTGGCTGCTGCTTGCTTTCTGAGGAATTGCCAGATCCTGGGGAGCAGAGGCCCCTGCCTAGGCAGCAATGTTCATGCTCAGCAGTAGCTCAAGGTCCATGGAGCTGCCCAGGAGCCTGCCGAGTGTCTGGGAACAGCATCTACCCTTGGGGCTTGGCTCACTCGCCCATGTGAGCACCTTCAACACAGTGACCTCTTAAACCTACTGCAGATCCCAGTTTTTGGGGTTTGGAGTTGTCTTACAGCACTTCTGAACTGTCTATGTTGAAGTGTGTTTTTTCCAATTCTCAACTTGAAATCACATCCACAGATTGACAAAAAGAACAGTGTAGGGCTGAGACCTAGAAGGCCATAAGCTGAATGCTCCCTTTTTTTTCCTGGGACCCCTGGAGAATCACCTGCACAAGAAAGCTGAAAAAATTTATTTGTAAGGTTTTGGAAGAATGACTGAGAGTAGTAGGGAGAAGTATTTTATGTGCTTGCCCTGTTCTTACTATTTTTAGGGCATCACTTGTGGCCTCTGTTCTTTTTTTTTCCTTATATGTTTCGTTTTGTTCTATGTACAGCTCTTATTTGATGCAATTTAGGTAAGTCCTGGCTCATTGAACATAAACAGTGCATTATAATTTGGAGACAAATGGTTGTAATTCACCTTTCTCAGCATCAGACTTGATCAGTGTGTCAACCTCAGTATCTTCAGCTTCTTGATAGCCTGTTTGATCTGGTGTTCTTTGGTCTTGACATCAATAGTGAATGCCAAGTGGTGGTACTTGCTGTTCCCCAGCTAACTCTGGCCATAGGGAACTTGGATTGCAGAATATGAAATTTGTTGCAGGCAGAGTTCTTGATGAGATGGAACTGTGATCTAGGCCATTAGGTGGTTCAGGTCTTTACTCCTCTATATAGGTAGAAAACTGTGCTCATGACCTAGACTTGGAGCTTGCATCTCACAGACTAGTAACTCGCTTAGGGCTATGGCTGGTGGAGGCTCAGTCACTTCTTTCTTTTTTTCCTTTTCTTTCTAATATCTGTTTCCTTCTTGGTCAAAACAGTTTCCCTTGAATGAAATTTCTTTTTTCTTGACTACCCTAGTTGTGGTAGGGTATTTTAGCCTGTAATTATTTCTGGATGCTTCATGAAATAATTTATTATGTATTTATGCCTATGATAAACTAAAATGGATAGAGGAACTTTCCTGTTACACCTCATTCACCTTCCTTCTGAGGTGCAGTGTGTGAAAATTCGTGAGTCCTTTTCTGCACCACCTCTGGTGCTGTGTTCATACCACGCCTGGCTGTGTAATACCTACGCTGGCTGCTCTCTCACTGCTTTACCACCAACAGCTTCTGAGACCTAACCCGCTACCGGCTTCTCCCACAGGGCTATGTGGCTTTGGAAACTTATGACCCATCTTCCTGAATACACGTACGGACTGCTGGAAGGTGTGATGGTTATTTATGCTGTGACGTTTCTAAACCCTTTGAACAGGAGGAACTTAATGGTTAGAGAGGAGGCAGAGTTTGTTACTGATGTGCTGCTATGGGACTGGCATAGAGCAACACATTGTAGTTGTATTAACTGAACAAATAGAGGTCCCAGCTCCTACTGCATTTAAGCCCAAAAGAATCTGAAAATGGTTTTCACGGGGAGCATGGTTTGGATCCATACTAAGCCCATATTTGGAGGCACAGTAGGCAATGGCGGGGGGGAGCTCTGTTTTCTTCATCTCAAATTCATTATGTCAGTGTGGGAAGTGTCCTGTCTAACGAGGGTTGGTGCATTCCCAGGCAAGCCAAGTGTGTGGTCTGCAGAAGGAAATAATCTGACAGTTCAGGTGATCTTTACAGAAGCTCACTCAAATGCACCAAACACTTGGGTACTTAATAGAAGAGTTAGGTAGGACTCGGACACAAATTCATGAAGTGCAATTCTATAAATCCCTTCTGGATGCTGTGAACCCTCAGCAGCTGTGGGGACTGAGCCGATACTTCACTGCAACGTGCCATGCAGGGTTCATGAAGATAAGCTGCCTCCAGGAGATCAGATCTCATGTCTATGGTCTAACTTCACCGCAGAGTTGTTGAATGCGTTATGGCCTGCCTGAGAAGCTGAGATGCTCGTGTTTCTCAGGCCATTCAAGTCTGTGCCTCATGATTTTATTCATAAAAAATGAGGGTAATGCTCATTATGGGATAACCAACGGTACCCTGACATTCACTTCTGATGTTGGTCTTTGAGACTCTTTGACAAAGTGCTTGTGTTGGTGCGTAAGCATGACATAACTGTCTCTGTCACAGGTTTCAATACCAACTTTACAGGATCCTCTGTTAAAAGACATTCAAAGAAAGTTTATTGAGACAGGCATTATCAAGCAGTGTGAGACAGGTATTTTAAACAGTTGGTATCCCTTGCAAGTGTTTCATGTTGGAGGGCCATCCTTGCTTGTGTCAGTAGATGCTCACACAAAGCATGTGTTTCTTTCCTGCCAGGAAGACCATGCTCTACCAGAGAGCTGAACAAACTCAGTAAAGCAGAACTGCCACTGCTTCCTTTGAGCCGGCAACGTATGGATGCAGTTGAGTGGTTGAAGATACCACACGCCTACATTGCTAGTGAGGTCCACCAAATGAAGAGGTAAGAGCTAATGTGTTGTTTATTGAGAGGGAGCACAACAGCTACAGTGGCTGCATAGCAGAGTATTTGCTCAAATTTAAATTTCATGGTGATTTCTGCTTTATTGTGTATTTCTCCTGAGAAAGGAGTGTTGGTGAAAGGAAAGCCTTCAGGTATGGAGTGGACAGCAGGATTTATTCAAGTAGAACATTGATGGTCAAGCTGAGCCTTGAAATAAAGTGGCTTTTGGTGGGGAGTTTCCTGCATTTTCTGCATGCAACCTGGCAGCCAGCCCTACAGGTCAAGCTATGGAGTATTTCCTCCTGGGTGCTTTACTGGAAGATCTGAAAGGATTTAATGTTCATACTTGCTTTGGGTTTGGTGGGGGTTGTTTTTGGTATTAATTTCTAGATTTTGGGAGTCGAGTGAGGTCATACTTGTATCAGAGACTGGTTGAGGTTGGAAGGGACCTCTGGAAGTCATCTTGTCCAGCCCTGCTGCTGAAGCAGAGCCACCTTGAGCCAGTTGCCCAGGACCATGTCCAGACAGCTTTTTGCATATGTCCAAAGGATAGAGACTCCACAACCTCCCTGGGCAGCCTGTGCCAATGCTCTGTCACCTTCACAGTAGAAAAGGGTTTCCTGATGTTCAGATGGCACCTCCTGTGTTTCAGTTTGTGCCCATTGCCTCTGGTCCTGTCACTGGGCACTACCCAAAAGAGCCTGGCTCCATCCTTTTTGCACCCTCCCTTCAGGTATTTGTACACCCTGATGAGATTCCCCCTGAGTCTTCTCTCCTCCAGGCCAAACAGTCGCAGCTCTCTTGGCCTCGTCTCATGTTTGCTCAGCCAGTGTCCTTTGACTGTTGAGATACAGTGTGCATCCTGGCTCAAGCCATCAGGCTGGTCCTGTTAAGGAGTGGCCTGCACGAAGGGAGCCACACACCACTCCCGAAAGTTGCATTCTATAGCTAAGCTTCGTAACAGGGTTTTTTTTGGCATATAGGCTGGTTGGACTCAAAATACAGTAGAGATCACTAATGGTGAACTGAACTGGAGCTGTGGTGCAGCTGCCTAAGCTGAGAACACTAGAGAGCCCCTGCTGGCCTGCCCTAATAGAGAAGCATTTGGGATCAGTGAAGAGTGGGGTTTTTTTTAAATTATGATGATGTTGGTTTTTTAAAAGTCCCAGTGCCCTGATTCACCCCTTTTGAAAGCTCTCTGGTTCTGCCATTGCAATATACAACACTTAAGGGAACTCCTGCTGCCCAGTGACAAGGATGTCAAAGCTGAAATGGGAGAGCCTGATGTCCTCCTGAATCAGGCACTCTCCCCCCCGCAGCCCCTGCCTTAGAGTTTTATGCCTCTTACTGGCCCAAGGCTTACTCCAGCATGTTTAGAGCTGTTACGGGATAATGGCACGTTCTAGAAGGAAACTGGTCACAAGGACAAACATTTCCTGGAGTGACTCACTGCAGTAAGGAGCTAGTGCAGAAAGCAGTGCTGGGCTACAGCAGCCTTTGGTGCTGCATGGACTGGCCATAGTTTTTACTTCTGTTTAAAGGCAGAAAGTCATCAGCCACGAAGATGGCAAGAGCCGATGGTGTCACCTATCTTCCAGCTGACTGCAGCAGCAAGCACAGCCATCAGAAGGTACCATTTGCAAAATATGTTACATCTTCTGCCAACACAAGTGGTAATAGGCCAGGTCTTCTAGCAAACTGCAATAAACTCATTGTCTTAAACACATGGTTCTCAAGTACTGCTGCCCAGCAGCCAAATAAATGTTTGAGATGCTGCTCTGTTATTTCCAGCTCCAGTCCATTCTCTACAGGCCAAACCCTACTATTTCAGGAGGTTTAACTTAGGCTCAGCCATACAAAGACAGTGCTGATCTTCTCTGGTTTATAGGGTAACAGAGTCTTTGTATTAAAGGAGATGAACTGGTGAGAAAAAAGTCTGCTAGGCCCCTCTTCTACGCCATGCAGGATCTGTATGTTATCGCCAGCTCTGACAACAGCTACAGCTTCGAGTCTGCTGTATTCCGTATTACAAGTGTGAATGTTCGCAGGGCGGCAGAGAGAATGGCAAAGCTTGCAAAATTTTAGCTACAGCTGTTGCAATTCTGCATGAAGCTGAAAGAGGTCACCTTGAGAGTCAAGAAGAAACTCTTTCTTCGAGTGAGGAGGAGGAGAACGAGGTGCTCCTGGCTATGTGTGTAGTTAACAGAAGTGTACAGAAGAGCAACTTAGAAAGCACTGATGATAAATAATGATTTGGTTTTGTTTGTTCAAACCTGTATCAGAAATCCCATAGTGAATGTCTTGCAAAATATTATTTGCAAACTAATGTACTACCAAGGTTTCAAAGGACCTTCTCCTGGAGGCAGTACAAGCAGTAAATCAAACTTTAACATACATATTGAGTGTTTTGAGAAGGCAGGAAATAATCAGGGGAGAGGAGATGGTTCATGGTCCTGTACAAAATGTGCAGCACTTTCTGGAGAGTCCGTGCTGAGCAACAAAGGCTGTCACTGTTCCACAAACCACTTTCCCTCTTGTTCCATTGTGGTCCCCGTCTCCCTGCTAGTGTGACTGACTGCACAGCAGCTCTGGTGTTAAAGCCTGAAAACAGAATTTTCTCTGTGCTTGTTCAAGGAGCTCCAACCTCCCACTGTACAGATACAATCTCTCAAGAGTTGCCAAGATTTAGTTTTATTTAGGATTAGAAATACTGAACCACAGAAAACTGTTAAAAGTAACAGAGGTTGACTCAGCCCTGTAACAGGAGGGTACACAGATGGCAATCGGGTGTGAAACTGTCGGGCGTCAGGAGGTATTGCTGCACCCATGGAAAACAGGGGCACGTGCTGCTCAGAACTGCATGCTGTGCTTTTTCAACAAAGCCGTTTAAGGAGGCAGTAAAATGGTTACAATGTATCAAATGCTTTATAAACAAACTTTTTTTTTAACGATCCCTGATTTTTGGTGCCAAGAGAAAATTTCTGCTTTCAACCAGTCTCATTTTACAGATTCATGTTGGGGTGACAGTTCCCCCAAGCAAACCTTTTAAACTTGTAATAAACTTTTCTTGAATTTAATCCTATTTTTTTTTTCATTATTTCACATTCCCCTGTACAATAAAATATACTTTAAAAAAAATCACTTTGCATCAATAAACATCTGTAGACAAATTACATTTATAAACTTATATTTTACTCTCTATATACATGTTGGCAATGTCTAAGCTTCAAGATTCACATGGAGGTCTGCAGGACCAAGGAAATGTACACAAATAACTTACATTTAGGAAAAAAACAAAAGCTGAAGAGTATTTTTCCACATTATGGTGGGTCACAGTATTTAAAATACTTTTTTCTAGTTATTCTTCACAACCACATTGTCTCAGCAGAGAATGATGAATCAAACTGAAGCAAAAGAAAAATCAAGTAGCAGTTACTGATTTCAGTGCAGAACTAAGTCAAGTAAAGAACTACACTTGATTCTTAAAGAATATACAATATATTGGAGACTTCTCCAGTGCTAAGGCTTCTTCAGCATTTAATCTTTAAAACTATCATCCTGAGATGGGAAGATTCCAGTGGATATCAGTTGTCAGATTTCAAATGGAATGATTCTAGTGCTGAGCTAAACCATTCCTCAGTCTGTATGTTAGTCTAAAGTGGTAAAGTATACATACATCTTGATGCCACATTTCTACTTAATACTTTTTATGGCCCTGAAAATGGAAACATTGGCATCCAAAACCGAGATATTCCAACATAATAAAAAGGCACTGAGCTATAGTATTGTTCATACAGTAACATTTGTGTTTGCATAGATCAACAACAACTTTGAATGCTTTGAACTAAACGCAACCAGTAACTAAGAGGAAATATGTAAGCAGCAGGAACTCTTGCTTAATAACCAGCATGGGGAAAAGAATCTTCTAAAAAAAATATTCAGGTTGTCAGCTTCAGTTGTCCTTCATAAACTAAAAAAGTGTTTTTAGAGGAGTGTTTTCTGATCAAAGAGCTGCAGGTCAAAACGGACCCAGACTTCTCCTGTTGGAACTTCATGCAGCAGTAAGTGTTTAGTCGTGGGGCCTTTGCTTTCTTGTTCTGTTCTGATTTTTGCTACTGGAACTTCAGTGCGACCCAAAAAATCTGTGGGGCAAATGAATAAGAAATTTCATTAAGTAAAGGCATTAAGCTTAGAAAATCTGAAAGTGTCAGGTTAAGCAGCAATGCTGCATAGTATGTATTCAGTTCCAGAGCACAGCTCCCAAGCTTCCTGTTTGACTAGCCTCAGACCTGTGTAAATCAGCCAGCAGTGACAAAAAAGGGTCTTCTTAGAAGACGAAAATGCTATGGAATTACGACAGAAAACATGCCTTTATGTCATAGTTTGATCTAAAGGCTTTAAAAATACAGTTCTCTTTCAGAAACATGATTTCAGATGTTCTCCTGTCTTAGAGCTGGAAAGTCAGACTTAAGTAGTGGAACCTGTTTACAAGTCAGCTGTGGTGCTATGAAGACAATAAAAGAAAATTTCAATATTTTCGCTCAGGCAACTTTTAATTAGGCATATGTATCATTCTTTTCAGAAGAGCAATGACCTTGAACTACTACCACTTGTAGGTTTACAGTCCTATTCAGACTGGCTCTTTCTGGCCATTTCATATACAAACCTCTGTGTGTATTAAACAGTTTACCATGAACTGAAAAAACAGCAGACTCGGCTGTCCAACACAGGTTACTTCACAGGAGAAAAGACTGAGCTATAGTTATACATAGGGCAAACTCAGGTCAAGGCAGTACCTTGCAAATCTGAAGTAATCAACTGTGTGCCAGAGCCCTGAAAAAGCACTTAACCTTTTAAAGAGTACTGGAAACTACCTACTGCCAAAAATGTGTTCAGTTTCCAAGCAAAAAAAAAGGCAGCTTATCAAGCTGTTGCTGTGCAAATATAACCTAGCACCTTATTTTTGGGCATCACCTACAGTGAGAGAGAAAAACTTCTGCTTTCAACTTCTCTGTCTCTCCAGTCTGTGGGAGAAAAAATAATTCTGTGTCTGATTCAAAAGCCAGAGTAGGACCAAATCGGAGCTGTTGGCTCTGGAGGGCTATTGAACCTCCTGAATAAGGAGGCATTGTTTTTACACATTTCTCAGGAAGCAATAATACCTACAAGCTCTTGGAACTGCTGGTGAGGAACTGTGTACCCCAAGCCCTCAAAAAGCGTTCTCTTCCTAAAACAAATGTTCACACTTACCATCGGGTGAGAACTGATCTCTATCAAACATGGTGATACACAGGACATCCTGATACAGATCCTTAATGAAGAACTGGCAGTTGAAGTTCCACTTGGGGTTCAAGGTGTCCTGCAGAGTCCTTGTAGTGTAGCTCTGAGAGCCCATGCTGATTTCACAATACGGGTTGCTCTTCCCTAAACACAGAACAAGCAGTGAAGCACCTCTGCAGCGCAGAAACCTCCCTCCCCATCTGGAGGCTGCCTGACACACATTGATGCTGCTGTGGGTCAGGCAATCCCTATATCATAGCTTAGAACCAGCACAGAGCTGGTTCTTCACTTGGTCCTCTGAAGCTAAAGAATGGCTAATTTGTTCAGAAGCTGTAGCTGAAGCCACAATGTTTCTCAAATCACCACTCTTCTCAGCAAGCCTTTCCAAATGTTGCAGGAATTGAAGAGATTAGACACTATTTCCTTCACTTACCGTTGGGCTTACAGGCCTTTAGCTCTGTTGCTTCAATCACATGCACCATCAAGCGTCCTATTCCTGAGGTCTTCTGTGAGCGAGCTGGGAACAAAGTTGTCAGAAATAAATGGATTGGCTGCAGTTGTAAGAACTGGCAATAGATCTGAAGAGGGAGATCCTACATGGACACTGTGGTATCCTCCAGAAAAGGCCCTGCTCACATGTCCAGGTGGATGAGGGGGAAATGCAGAACTGGGTAGGTACCTTGATAAGCCTTTTCCCGTTTCTTCTTCTCAGTTTCAATGTACTGCTCTGATGCTGCTTTGATTTTCTGGACCCAGGCAGTGCTGCAAAGAGCAATCCCTACGGTCAGGGTCATACCACAGGCAGGAAATCCCTCAGTATCTGATTTACTTTGCCCCAATCTCTTCTGCCATTTTTTTGAACCCACTGGGTTTCAGAGGCATCATGAATCAAGTTAGTTCAGGTACTAAAGCAATGGAGTTCTCGGCTTTAATCTTATGCCACATTTCCACATCAACCTAAATAAATGAAAGTGGAGCTGCTGTTTTATTATAGACTGCTGGATCACATTAAAGACTGACCAGGACTGGGGAAGAACCTATAGGATGCTGGACTGTGCAGCTCTAAACTATTCTTCTATACAACTGTAACATCGAGGAGCAGCAGATGTGACTGGATTCCACTGCAAGAGCTGCCACACAAGCAGAACAAAATGAGAGGAAACTTGTAATTCAAATGAGAGTCAAACAAGTTTATTTCCTGACCAAGAAACTATACCCTGTTCTTGAACTCAGACCCCCATGTTTGCTCACTGGAAATAGCCTACAGCCACGATCAACAAGTTTAAGCTCAGATCTGCGTTTTCACTACTCACCGCTCATTAATGTTGTCAGTTTTAAGTGTGTAAACTCTGTCAATGTGTGATATGTGGAAAACTGGCTCATCGCTTGAAGGGTCTGTGGGCAATTTCACTAGGACTTCATTAAGGAAAACAGGCTGAAAGAAAAGCAAACCACTGTAGTAGCAAAAATTCTACAAGGATGTTTAAA